TTATTCAGGTGTTCTTATGGAAGTTTCATTATTTAAGCGTGACTGTGGCCATTGGCAATGAACTCAATCTCCAACTCTTCCTTCCACCCCAGAGGCTGGGGGGCAGGGAGGATGAAGCTGAAAGTTCCAAGATTCTGATCAACTCTTGACCTTTCTGGAGACTGGCTCCTACCCTGATGCTATCTAGGAGAGCAAGAGTCACCTCATTGGAACACCTCATCATTCCAGAAATTCCAAGAGTTTTAGAAGCTCTGTTTCAGGAACTGGGGACAAAGACCAACTATCTTTCTGATCTTACCGCAGCAACTTTACTTCTCCTTTGCCATGGAAGGTAACATATTCACAGGTTCTGGGGGTGAGAATGTGAACATCTTTGGCAGGGGAGGGGATGTTATTCCACTGACCACAGCATCTAATGCAGTTTGTGAGCACTGTAGTGCTTTCGGAAACTCAATGCACTAGCATTATGGTGCATGGATGGAGGGTAAGCCAAAAGACTACAGCCCAAGTGCTGTATTAGGGTGATGGAGAGAAAATAGAAAGGGAGGAGTGTGCAGGGCATTGACAAAGCAGAAATAATAATTATGTAACAAATATGGAGCTCATGATAGTTCTGTTAGATCATGCCCTACAATGAATACATCAGTTCTCTGATGACCGAGTAAATGCATTATGAGAATGTTAACAATCTACATTAGTTTTAAATAAACACATAAGAGGGGCGCCTGGGTGGCTCAGTCGTTAAACGTCTGCCTTCCGCTCAGGTCATGATCCTGGGGTCCTGGGATCGAGCCCCGCATCGGGCTCTCTGCTCAGCGGAAAGCCTGCTTCTCCCTCTCCCACCCCCCGGCTTGTCGTTCCTGCTCTCGCTATCTCTCTCTCTATCAAATAAATAAATAAAATCTTATAAATAAATAAATACACACACGAGTCTAATTCTAGGGACCCAAATTTCCTCTGCTGACAAACTATCTTCTTGTTACCATGGAAAAATTCTGAAGCATCTCATTTATATTCCTTACCTCCTCCCTCCTTCCCTCACCTCACCTCGCTTACTTCCATCATTGGCTAATGTGGATGTGGGATGTGGGGCAGGAACACAGAGAGAGACACCCTCCCCCCAAGCTTCATCCTATCCCATGATATCTGTGATTCACAATCAACAGCCTTTCTCTCGGTGCCTGCCAAGAACATCTTTACAGGTTTGTAAGTCATCAGCTCCTCTTAACCATCACCAACACCCCTAGCAGCACCTTCGATGTAAAAACAATTGCATATTGATAAGTTAGCTTCACGGTTGGTCAGTAATAGCCAAAATCCCTCTAGATGGCAAATGTGCCCAGGCATCTCTGTTTCAGATATCATCATTTATTCCAAAAATAAAGATCGTGGCCATTTAAGAAGTATGGTTCCGGGGGGGGGGGAGAAAAGATTGATCATGTAACTACGATATGATTTAGAGAGACGAGAATATTTCTTGAAATCTAAGTCATCATCAACTGTGAGATGCACCCTATTTTAGGCTCTGGGGATCTGGTGCGTAGTCTCTCAGGAGGCTACAGTGAAGCTATTGGCTGGGGCTGCTTCCATCCGGGGCAGAGAATCCACTTCCAGGCTCACACACGGGTTTGTCGGTACCTCCAGGTCCTGCCACCTGTTGGCCAAATACCCCGGGGCCTTGCTAAGTGGCCAAACTGTCAGCAACCTGAATGTCTCCCCAGGAGCGAGGAGAGCCCAAGATAGTGGAAGAAAGCCCAGCCTTTTACAGCCCGATCACAGAAGTAACCAGCACTGACTTCTGCTAAGTTCTATTGGTCACACAGACTACCTCTGGTACAACGTGGGTGAGGATCCTCCAAGGGCACGTATCAGGAGGCTGGTTACCACAGTACATACTACCAAAAGGAACCTGAAACTAATTTGCTTCTTTAGGTAACATTTATGGAGCACTTACTAGACACCTTGCCCCATACTAAGTACTAGTAACTCATTTAAAAGAATTAAATGAGGGGCACCTAGGTGGCTCAGTTGGTTAGGCGTCTGCCTTCGGCCCAGGTCATAATCCCAGGGTCCTGGGATCGAGCCCCAAGTCGGGCTCCCTGCTCGGCGAGGAGCCTGCTTCTCCCTCTCCCCACCCCATGCTTGTGCTCGCTCTCTCTCTCTTTCAAATAAATGAATAAAACCTTAAAAAAGAAAATTAAATGAGAACAACAATCCTATGGGATGAAACCTATTATTATCATCTCCTCTTTTTTTTTTTTTTACAGGTGTAGAAACTAAAGCTTAGCTAGGTTAAGTAACCTATCCAAGGTCACCAGTTAGTCAGGGAGAGGGCTGGGACTTCTGATTTTTTCACTAAAATGCTACCCAGCCTTTGCTTCAATACATATTATTGAATATGTCAACAAGGAAATCCCATTATCAAGTTAGATAATTTGAGAATCTCCAAGATTCTTTGTTTTCTTGACTATTGCCATCACCAGTCCATAAGAAAGTGCTCCATTGTATTATGACACTTTAAACCTTAGCTTACTGAATTTGTTACAGTAATTATTATGATTATTATGATTATTTATTATTATTTTTTAAAATCGAGTGTGACGGTCATTGGCTCTGCGCTGTCTGTACCTTCAGGAGCAAAACTTCCTGCCAAAACCCTTGATTCACACAAGAGCAGGTATCATTCTGAAAGACAGGACAGAAGAATAAAGTGTAGACTTTCAAGAAAATCTGAACAATTTCCTCTGAAGACATAATAGTCTCAGAAGATAGTATTTAAAATTATTTTCATAACTTCACAAAAGAAATGTAAGACAAAAGAGACTGCTTTTTATTCTAACATAGAGATGTTCAAATACTAATTATCTCAAACACCTGTCAAAGAGTAGACACGATCACACTCCCCCTATATTCAGGAACAATAAAAAGAAAAAGTAATATATCTTTTAGACTGCTCTGTGAGCACAAAGTAAGTACAAGTAAGTCCTGAGTCACAAGTCCTCGTGACCCTAAGACTCATCACCTCCAATGACTCATTCTAACCCATCTGATGTGGATGTGGGGCAGGAACACAGAAAGATGTGTAAAAGACAGACTTTTATGTTCAGTGCCGAAGTAGCAGAGCTTATGGAATTAGTTCACTGGGTTTCCAATTCATATCAAAGCAATTTTCTTAGATCTCTGCAAGTAAAACCTACTAGCATCATCAATGTGGAGACCCAGCCATCACATCCAGAAGAAAATAAGAATTTAAGGTACTCACAGTTGGATCAACTGGATGGAGCGTGAATTAGCAACCAGTTGTAACCAAGCAAAGAAAGCAGTGGACCAGGTATTCACAGGGAATCAACGCATTGTTAAATCCTTCCTTGAGGAGCACAGAGCTAATGAAGCCTATCTATGGGTGGGGTCTGGTTGGGGCCCAAGAGTGGGGGCGGGGAAGACCAGACTAAGAAGGCCAGCAGTCCAGACCATCACAGAGTAAGGGTGCTCCCAGGACAGGGGTGGGGGGCAGAGAGGAGTGCAGGTGTGGGGCAAAGGGCAGGGATGAGGGGGTAGGAATCCAGTAAACAGTAGAGAGTTCAGGGACTCAGCATTTCTGCAGGCTAGACGGTGGTCAAAGTAACAATGGATGCTGACAAGTCATGAGGGCCAAGTTTTGAACCTATAAGCCCAAGTCTTTGCACCCTTTCTGTCTCTTTAGGAAGCAGAGATCCCAACAGCCTGGCTAGTGACAGGGTATTCTGAGTGCAGCACCAGAGAACCACACAGACACTGAGTATTTGGCCACTCTTGTTTCCTCAGTGCACATCACAGAATTCTGCCGGAGTTTGAAGCTGGGGAAGTTTGCCAACAGAAGAATATACATGGAGCGAGTTCAGTCACAGTTTCTGTTCTGGATGCATACCAGATTCTCAGTAACCTATTTTTGTTCATTAGAGAGAGAAAGAGAGTGAGCGAGAGGGAGAGAAAGACGGAGGAGGAGAAGGAGGAAGAAGCGAAAGATGAATAAGAATGGAAGGGTCAAAGGAAGTAAAGAGGAAAAGAAATAAAAGAGAGACAGAAAGATGAAAGAGAACAGAAGGAAGGAAAGAAGGAAGAGATAGAGGGACATCAGTTTGGTGGGAATGCGCGTATGCGTGCGCGCGCGCGCGCGCACACACACACACCCCACTGTGATCGCCCTAAAGAAATAAGCTATTTTCTGGTTATACCTATTACCTTAGCCCCTTTAGGACATCCTTTGGGGGTAAAAGCAGATAATGGCTGGGATAACTCTACATATTTTGGTTTAAGTTTGTTTTTATCTCTAGGGTAAGTTATATTTTGCTTTTGTCTGAAACATAATCTTAAAGACAGAGGGTCTCAAGGCAAATAATTGTCAGTCAGAAATACTAAAAGTGGTCAGGCTCTGAACTAACTAGACTCTGCCGAGAATGTCCCCAGCAGATGGCGCAAGCTGCCCTCTGCTGTGATGAGACTTCTCACAGAGTGATCCATTTAGTATCAAAATAGGTTTCTTCTTCATATGATGATTCAAACAGTAGATCCTAACCAGGTGAGGAGCTAGGTGAGAAATCAGTCAGCAGGATGCCAAGAGACATTATGAAGGGAAGATAAAATCGGGAAGCTTTTAACGTTATTTCTCATGTTGAACTGTTTTAAAAACATGCTATGACCTCACACATATTGTTCCATTCATATCATTTTGGGCTCTGAAAGTTAAGAATTCTTTCAAGACAGGGCGCCTGGGTGGCTCAGTCGGTTAAGTGACTGCCTTCGGCTCAGGTCATGATCCTGGAGTCCCAGGATCGAATCCCGCATCGGGCTCCCCGCTCCGCGGGGAGTCTGCTTCTCCCTCTGACCCTCCTCCCTCTCATGTGCTCTCTCTCTCATTCTCACTCTCTCAAATAAATAAATAAATAAAATCTTTAAAAAAAAAGAATTCTTTCAAGACAGACTTTTATGTTCAGTGCCAAAGGACAACAAAGTACCAAGAATTACGGTATCTGAAAATATTTGTATTAATTGGTGAAGGGCTTATAATGGAGAAAGTTTTCCCATAACAAATTAAAGATAAATCAACTCCCAAGGAAACCTCGGGAAAGGGGACGTTGATTAGAGATTGTTGAGATCAGCCAATGTTTCTGCTGCTTCGCTAGTTTCTTACAAATAAATACAGTGTTCTTGCTCACATGCTGAGCTCGGGGCTAATGCATTTTTTTTGTGACCAAGCCAACAGTAGAACCAAAAACATTTGCATCCCTGGAGACAAGGTAACCCTCTTTGGGAAGGCAGGGAACATAGTATGTTATCCTTGGAATCATCTTCAAAATCTGGAACAGAAAACAGAACTTTATTAATTAAAGCTTCTTAAACGTCTGCCCTCAAACAAGAGTTTGGAATGTTCAGGTCAGTGACTAATTTCCAGTGAATAGCTGTCCTGCACCTACCACCTTCCTTCCCTCACATCTACTGATGTTTTAACTCCCACTGCTGCTTCCCTGTCCATCTGCCACAAGAACTTTACTTTTTAAAGATATTTTAAAATATAAAGTAATGTATGTGAGGGGTGCCTGGGTGGCTCAGTCTGTTAAGCGCCTGCCTTCGGCTCAGGTCATGAGCCCCTCATCAGGCTCCCTGCTCAGCCAGGAGCCTGCTTCTCCTTCTCCCCCTGCTGGTGTTCCCTCTCTAGCTGTCTCTCTCTCTGTGTCAAATAAATAAATAAAATCTTTTAAAAAAAAAGTAATGTATGTGAACTGCAAGAAACTCGAAAACACTGAACGGCATTAAAGAGAAATTTCCCATGCCTGAGTAGATATTGGCAACGCAGACTTCTAACAAGAGCTTGTGTCCAGAATATACAAAGTCCTACAAATCAATTAAAAAAAACATTAAAGAGAAAAATGAGCAACAGATTTGAACAGACACTTCACCAAGGAGGATACTCAAATGTACAGTCTCAATTTTGTTAGTAACCAGCTGTAAATGAAAACCATGATGTGTGTGAGGGTTTTAAAATAAGTCCAGGGATGCCTGGGTGGCTCAGTGGCTTAAGAGGCTGCCTTTGGCTCAGGTCATGGTCCCAGGGTCCTGGGATCGAGTCCCAAATTGGGGAGCCTGCTTCTCCCTCTACCTGTGGCCACTCCCCCCCCCCCCGGCTTGTGCTCTCTCTTTCTCTCAAATAAAATCTTTTAAAAATAAAATAAGATAAAATAAGTCCACACATTCTTTGCTACTTCTCCCTTCACAACATAGGGACTAGCTCCTTTGAGGGCCCTCTAGGAGTAAACACTGGTTTCCAACAGAGAGAATAAAGCAGATGGAAGTGTGTGGCTTCCCCCTCGCCCCCTCTCATGAATCACTCAGAGTAGAGTAGGCAACTGGCTGTCATGTCAGGCAGCTGGCTGCTCAAAGAGCCCTAGGGAGACCCAAACGGTGAGGAACTGGGGCCTCGAGCCACACTCTGAGGAGAAGACCCTGAGCAGAACTGCCCTGCTAAGTCACTCCTAAAGAAGTGGTGACCCACAGAAACGTGCGATAATAAAGTTTTTAAGCCACCAAATTTGGGGGTAATTTGTTACATAGATGATGTATCCAATAGGATACCATCACACATAGACCAGAATAGCTAAAATTTTAAAGTTTGACATATCAAGAACTGGTTACGATATACAGAAAGGGAATTCTCATTGCGCCGCTGCTGGTGGGGTGTGTAACTGGTACAACCATTCTGGAAAACCGTGTGAATGATCTCCCTAACCGTATGAATGAACAGATACATGCCCTACCCCGCAAGTTCACTTCTAGGACGCACGTACAGAAATGCACGCACATTAGGCATCAACACTCGTGCAAGAATATTCACAACAGCATCATATAATAGCCCAAACTGAAAGTCCACCAACAGTATTTGGATTAATAAATGGTGGTGTGTCCACACGATGGAGTGCTAATCAACAGCCGCGACAATTCATGAACTCTAGCGGCACGGACTAAGACAGCGGAGTCTCACAGGATGGGCGAAAGAAGCCAGACACAAAAGAATTAACCCTGAATAGATTCTTTAGTCAGCCTCCAGTAACGAGAGACAAACCACACCGCTTATCCCAATAGAAAGAATGTATTATAAAGATCTGTTAACTAGGTATAAAGCTATTAACTAGACGACGAAAAATCAAAAAGAGGTCTCCGGGAGGTAGCTACTAACCCCCTCGGACTGGGGAATAAAAAGAAAAAAGTTGGAATTCCTGAAATCCAGCCACTTCGAGGCAGGGCCCCGGCGCAGCCCTCTGGTGCTGAGACTAGCGTCGGGCGGGGGTGGGGGGGTGCGCTGAGGCGGGTTCTGTAAGTACTGCGAAACTTACAAACTAGATGAAATTACGGCTGCAGGAAGCTGCCGCCACCGCTGGGGGTGGGGGGAGGGGTGCGGGGGCGGGGAGCAGGTTGCTAGGGTAACGTTGGCAGGAAAGGGAGCCAACAGGAAGCCAGCAGGAAGGATCAAGTCCCGCCCCTCTCCGCCCAGTCGCAGGTTCTCTGCCGCTGGCCTCGCGGGGAATCTAGTAGATCAGCCGCCGGGAGGGGTGGGGATAGGGGGAGCCTCGCCCGCAGACTAGGAGGGTGGGTTTGGAACCAAGAGGCGGCAGCTTCAGAGCTGGCACAAAAGGCATATATTAACGTTCAAAAGCAAACAAAATGGATACGTGATGTTAATATTGGGACAGTTGTTACCTCGTGGAAGGGGGAGCAGTGGGGGCGGGGGCTAAGCACAAGGGGAGCTTTCGAGGTGCCTAGGGATATCTTATGCGTTCACCTGGGCGACGGGTATATCGAAGTGTGGGTAGAGCCTTCCGTTAACACCCCGCCTTCCGGTTATAAAAGGCAACAAAGATTCTAGGAGGTTTCATTCAGCGTAACCCAGTGAGTACTTACTGAAATCTCATCTAAACTTGAAGAGAGGCCCCTTCTCGGAATGTTTCCCTGATTCCTTTTTTTCTCATTGATCTCTTCTCCGAAGTCTTAGAAAAATCGTCGTCTGATTTCACAACTGAACGCAAATTGTATAAGCTTATCGTGTCATGTATTACGCCCAAGGTGCTAGTTTCGACTTCCCAGTGAGATGATAAACCTGAGGACCAGAAACCCAATGTTACTCCTTCATACCACCGAAATGGCATAGCTCGGGACTGAACTCAGGTTCAGTCCCATAAATACCTGTTATCTAATTAATAACTAGCTTCAAACTTAACTGAAGTGCTGATGGGTTAAACTAGCTCCTCATTTGGCACCAGGTAAAGATGAATACATGAAGGAGATCGTTGTTTACAGTTTATTAAGAAAGGGAAGGCCCCCCCCAAAAAAAGAGAGAAGAAAGGGAAGGTCAAAAGGTGACCCAGGTAAACGTGTACCCTCCTCAACGGGGAAAAAAATCCTTTTATGAAAAATTCTATTTTCTCTATTATCTTGAAAATGCAAATGCCTTGGCTGAGCTTCCGGCACAAGCACCAGAGCATCTGGGCCGCCGCAGGCGCTGGGTCCCACGCGCGACCTTTGCCCCACTTCGGGCGGCCGCCTGGACGCTTATCCCGGCGGGCGGCCACGGTCCCTGTTTGTCCTCTTCACTCAGTCCTCAGGCTTGCACTTGAACAAGCACTCATCACTTGCCATAGAAAGTCGCTCTTCACACGTCAGCCAAGCTATTTTTAAAATCCCTCCCGGAGCTCCGCAAACTAAAAGTACCGCGGGGCCGGGCCACCACAGCCGGGTCCTGCCAGCCTCGGCGCGGCAGCCTGGCCAGCGAAGGGGCCGTCCCCGGACACCCTGGGACAGAACCGCCCCCAGACCCCGGAGGGAGGACAGTTCCCAGGACCCCGGGGAGGGGGGGAGGACGGCCTCCAGACCCCGGGGATCCGCCCCCCAGAAATCCCCGGAGGGTTGGGCTCCGCCCCACCACCCACCACCACCACCACCACCCCCCCGCCCTGCTCTCTTCCTTCTTGGCCTGGCGGGCCCTGCCTTCCACACTCTCTCAGGGAAAGGCCGTCCTCTCGGCCGCCCTGCAGTGCCCTTTCCCAGGACTGACGATGGCCCTCTGCCCACCGTTGTGGCGGATCCTCCCGGAGGTTTCCTCGTTGGTGGCCAAGGGTCCAAAAGACTTGAGTCTCAGATTCCCCACCCCACCCTCCGGCCTCTGTACCCCCCCTTCCCCAATCTGTCACACACGGGGGGAGGGGGCCGTGACGAGGAGGGGAGCTCCCGGGACGGGCCTTGGGGTGGCCGCTGACTTGAACCTGGGGCCTGGACCCTTCTCCTTGGCTACTGTCCCTGGGCAGACTGGGCCAGGCGGAGCCTGGGACAGGTTCAGGGGCCTTATCTGGCTCACAGAAAGAAGCTTTCAGGACTTCACCGTCCCTCCCCCCACCCAGCCATCATACAGATGTCAGAAAGTCTGATTTAAAACTCATTGGTGGGGCTCCTGGGTGGCTCAGTTGGTTAAGTAACTGCCTTCCGCTCAGGTCATGATCCCGTGGTCTTGGACTCGAGCCCCGTATAGGGCTCCCTGATCAGCGGGGAGCCTGCTTCTCCCTCTGCCTCTGCCTGCCACTCCCCCTGCTCGTGCGCGCGCGCTCTCTCTCTCTCTCTGTCAAATAAATAAATAAAATCTTAAAAAAAAAAAAAAAAAAAACCTCATTGGTTAGGGGCGCCTGGGTGGCTCAGTCCGTTAAGCGTCTGCTTTGAGCTCAGGTCATGATATCAGGATACCGGCAGGGGGTTCCCCGCTCAGCGGGGAGTCTGCTTCTCCCTCTCCCTATGCCTTTCCTCCCCACTCATGCTCTCTCTCTCTCTCAAGTAAATAAATAAAATCTTTTAAAAAAAGAAATTCATTAGTTAAAAAAACAGACTCTTAACAGTAGAGGACAAACTGATGGTTACCAGAGTGGAGGTGGGTGGGGCGGATGGGTGAAATCGGTGAAGGGGATTAAGAGAGTACACTTACAAAGAGCACTGAGGAATGTATAGAATTGTTGAATCACTATATTGTACACCAGCAACTAATATAATACTGTATGTTAACTATACTGGAATCAAAATGTTTTAAAGATAAATGAAGCCCATTTGTTAAGAAACTACTAACAATGTTTTTTCTCTAGGAAGGAGAACTGGGTGACTGAAAAATGGGGTAGGAGGGAAACTCATTTCATACATACCCTTCTTGACCTTTTAGATTTCATTCATATGCAAAATTGTTCACATTAGTAAAATAAAACCTTGCTTTTTAATTGCAGCTAGTTGCATAGTATGTTCAGTTGGTGAAAATTCAGTTGACTTCTAGGTTTAAGAACAAGAAAAACTTTTTAAGACAAAATTGAGTTAAGTTCTATGCACTTTTCTGAACATATATGTACCTCAATAAAAAGTTTTAAAAAATTAAATAAAATCTGTAGGCAAAGAGCAGAGCGCAGGCCACCATTGTCCTGCAGGCCTGTGTGCGCTTGGGAAGCCATCTAGATGGGCTTGGACACAGACCAGCTCCAGGCATCCTCAGCCGCTCCTCTCTGCTGCCTTCCTTCTCTCAATCTTGGAGTCCTCCTGGGTGCACATTCTCAGTACATTCCTACTTTCTAATCTCTCTAAGAAGCTAGCAAAGGCGGAATGTTAACATTTATATTTCAGTGGAAAATCATTCATAGCAATTCAGGGACTCAAAATGTAACTGTGTCCCAGATTCCTGCTTTTTAGTTGGAAGATTTTAAAAGAGCAGGCAGTCCTCTGGGGCACCTGGGTGGCTCAGTCATTGAGCCTCTGCCTTCGGCTTGGGTCATGCATGGTCCCAGGGTCCTTGGGATCAGCCCCACATCGCCTCGGGCTCCCTGCTCTGCGGGAAGCCTGCTTCTCCCTCTCCCACTCCCCCTGCTTGTGTTCCCTCTCTCGCTGCACCTCTCTCTGTCAAATAAATAAATAAAATCTTAAAAAATAAATAAATAAAATAAAAGAGCAGGCAGTTCAAGCGAGGGTTTCAAGATCTAAATAGGTACACACTTGTGTAACAGAAAGGTTAGATGGTGTGATTTAATCAAATGGTTGGGGGGAAATAGCGTATAGTATGATGCATTAACGTTGGCAAGAGGAGGGGTGCCTGGGTGGCTCAGTTGGTTAAGTATCAGACTCTTGATCTTGGTGGTGAATTCAAGCCCTGTTTTGGGCTCCACACTCAACATGGATCCTACTTAAAAAAAAAAAAAAAGTTGGCAAGAGGATATGGATATATCAGATGCGAAAAGTGGGTGCCTCAGGGGAAGAAACATTGAAAATCTTATTTTACATCAGATTGCTTTAAATAAAAAGAGAACTCAGTAAAGATGGAGGTAAAATTAGATACAAAATGTGAACTCATGACATTCACTAAAGTGGCTTAAATCAGTGTCATTTCCCCAGGGTCCCTCAGCTGTTTGCACTCAGAGCAGCTGATTCTGTGCTGTAAGAGAGGGAAAATAAAACCCAGCCTGACACAGCTTGCTTGCTGTCAAAGATGCAGGGTATTTCAAGACTACCAAGGAACCAGTTTAAATCAGGGGCTCCCACAGGCTACCTTGTGACAATTGGAGCATTATAAAGCAAACAATAATTCTGTAGAAAACCATGAGTCCAATTATTACCTCAAAAGAGGCTAACAGTATGAGGTATGCTTCAGGAAAGCTATACATAAATTTCTAATAACAGTTTCAAAAAATGGTATGTATTGATAACCCCTGATTATATACCAGGTTTGTATTTTGTTTGACAACTAATGTCAGGCAGTGTGAATCAGGGCATGGAGAGTTGATCTGCAGGTGCAGGACTAACCCTGGGCTCCTCTGAGGGTTATAGGGGACCAAAGAGAAGGAGGTGGGGGACCAGGCAGGGGGTAGCTATGATCAGGGGAAAAAAACATTCAGAGTAAAAAATCCATAAAGGCAAAGAAGTGAGTTACCAGGTGGCAAGGAGGTCCTTGGGAATGAGGGTACCAGCCTGATTCGTGGGCCTCTGCGCCAGTGCTGAGATCCCACACCTGCTCTCTTGCCTGGGATGTGGGATCCGATGCCTTGGCTGATGAGCACATTTTTAACTCTGGGATTCCACACACCAGCAAAGTCTCATATTATATGAGACTTATTTAAGTTGTGTTTATATAGTTGTGGTAGTAAGTTTTGGAATCATTACACTATTTTATGTATGCTTTGACTGCTGTTAGGATGTTGGGGAACCTGATTTGTTGGGTTCTGATTACTAGATGGGTAAGCACACTTAAGTGTGCAAGGCAATTTTGTCCCTGAGAATTATAAAAACTCCAAGTTGAAGTACTTGAAAGAATTAGATATTATAGGGGCACCTGGGTGGCTCAGTTGTTAAGTATCTGCCTTCGGCTCAGGTCATGATGGGATCGAGCCCCACATTGAGCTCTCCACTAGGCAGGAGCCCTGCTTCTCCCTCTCCCACTCCCCCTGCTTGTGTCCCTTCTCTCTCTGTCAAATAAATGAATAAAATCTTTAAAAAAAAAGAATTAGATATTATATTCATAATTATAGCTTGAACTATCTAAGATAATTTAGTCAAGTTTGGAAATATTGTTGTTTAGGGGAATTTAATCTGTCAAATTTATACACAAATTGAGCATTGATTAAAGAACAAGGAAAGATTGTCTTTTTTTTTTAAGATTTTATTTATTCGAGACACAGAGATAGAGAGAGAGAGAGCATGAGCAGGGGAAGAGGCAGAAGCAGGCTCCCCACCGAGCCAGGAGCCCGATGTGGGACTCGATCCCAGGACCCCAGGACCATGACCCGAGCCGAAGGCAGACGCCCAACTATCTGAGCCACCCAGGCATCCCGGAAAGGTTGTCTTTTGACTTTCTAACATTATTAGGTGGTTGAATAGCTGAGCAAGACTTATCAATGGAGGATAAAATGTGAAGAACATTTGGTTTTTAATTTTATAATTTTAGTTCATTAAGTATTGATAAAAAAACAAACCATAATCTTCTTTTCTTTTTGAGGAATAATGCTACCTCCCCATCAAACAACTCAATTGACAGCTTTCTACCACAGTTTAGAAAAGTAAAAGAGATGCCGTTGCCTGTGCCACAGAAAAGGCCAAGGCTCTTTTGTCTAAAACCCACATGATTTTTTTTTCAGATTAATACTATTTTTGGAATATTTATATAGCAAGTGTGTTTTCTAGTGGGCTGCTTCTTTTTTTTCTCCTGGAAGGGCATTCTGCGAAAGATAGAGAAAGAAAGAGACAGGGAAGGGGGCGCCTGGGTGGCTCAGATGGTTGAGCGTCTGCCTTCAGCTCAGGTCATGATCCCAGGGTCATGGGATTGGGTCACATCTGGCTCCCAGGGAGCCAGCTTCTCCCTCTTCCTCTACTGTTCCCCCTGTTTGTGCTCTCTTGCTCTCTCTGTCAAATAAATAAATAAAATCTTAAAAAAGAGAGAGAGAGAGGGAGGGAGGAAGGGAGGAAGGAAGGAGAGGTGGGGAGAGAGAGAGAGGGAGGGAGAGAGAGTGAGGAGGAAGAGAGAGATCCCTGTTTAGTACTTGGAGAAGCTCATTGAGCCCGGGAAATTCTAGGGATTCTCACCAATGACTTGTTTTTCTGCTCTTTATTAGCAAGGATGAAGAGCCATTCTCTGTTGCTACCCCCTCTCCCCAATTCTTCCCCTCTTGGTTAAGGAAAGACTCATGGTGGGGGCAGGGGGGTGTCCCACGGGACATGCCTTCTATCATGGTTCCCAGACTTCTAGATTCCACACACCAGCAAAGTCTCAAAAAAAACCAAACAAACTTTTTTTTGGTGACCTACATAGATTTGTCCATCATTTATGTGGCCAAATGAGAAGGAAAAGCAAAAACAAATCCCTGCCATTTCACATCACAATCATTTTATTACAGATGTGACATTTTAACACCAAAATGCAGAAAGGACATGACTTCGGTCAAGGACCATCTTTTCACATGAAATACACTTAGCTGAATGGAAATCTCAGGAAATCAATAGGGTTGTCCCTATTACTCTTGTGTGGTTGTAAATGTCACTGGGGGCAGACCAGTGCCCACCTGGGAATTACAGCCCCAGAGAACAGGCTGAGTGCGCTGGGTCCCCCCGCCCCACCTCCCCTAGGCCTCCTCATGCGAGGACGCACTCTGCGTCTCCTCCATCCGAGTCCTGAGCTGCCTGGCACTTCTTTCCTCTTAGTGGGCACAAATGTCAGCCTCATACTTTTTAAAGTGTCTGTGCCCCTTGATTAATGCGCCTTTCGAGTTATTATTGTCTGCATTATTTTAGCCTCCCAAGTTGTCACTGGGCCAATCATGAGCCTAAAGACATCATTTGAGCCCATCCCTTCTCCAGGGGACAGCTGCGAGAGGGAACGCCCTCTTCAGAACTGAGAAGTGTCCTCTGTGAGGCCAGTGTGCTTTCCTGGGAGGAAATTTAGTACTATTTTGCTGTTTCTATAACCATCATTCCCAAAGAAAATGGGAAAAGAGAAAAACCCTTCCATATATGAAAACACCTCTGTTCTCAGACCACAGGTATTTCCCATGTGTTATCCATCTCACACAGAGATGGGGGATTTTAAAGTTCCTGAAAAGCTCCTAATACATTTGATTACTAAAGGGAAATTATATTAGAGTTTTAGAGACTCCTGAAAAGCTACCTAATACATTTAATTACTAAACAGAAGTTATGTTAGAGTTTTCTACCAACTAGGAAAAATTAAAAAATAATTTTTAAAGTCCAGTATGCTTCACTTTCCTTTAAAAACTTTCAATCTGTGGGGTGCCTGGGAGGCTCAGTTGGTTAGTGTCTGTCTTTGGCTTGGGTCATGATCCTAGGGTCCTGGGATAGAGCCTAAGGTTGGGCTCCCTGCTAAGCGGGGAGTCTGCTTCTTCCCCCCACCCATGCTCTCTCTCTCAATCTCTCTCTGTATGGAATAAATAAATAAAACCTTTAAAAATAATAATAATAAGAGGGGCGCCTGGGTGGCTCAGTTGGTTAAGCGACTGCCTTCGGCTCAGGTCATGATCCTGGAGTCCCGGGATCAAGTCCCGCATCGGGCTCCCTGCTGAGCAGGGAGTCTGCTTCTCCCTCTGACCCTCTTCCCTCTCGTGCTCTCTATCTCTCATTCTCTTTCTCAAATAAATAAATAAAATCTTTAAAAAAAATAAATAAAAATAAAAATAATAATAATAAGAAGAAGACTTTCGATTTATATATCAAAGCTTTATAT